CTAATAGTAGTAGTAGTGGTAGTGGTACTAATAGTAGTAGTAGTGGTAGTGGCACTAATAGTAGTAGTAGTGGTAGTGGTACTAATAGTAGTAGTAGTGGTAGTGGCACTAATAGTAGTAGTAGTGGTAGTGGTACTAATAGTAGTAGTAGTGGTAGTGGTACTAATAATATTGGTAGTAGAATCAGAAAAACATAATTTACATATTTATAATGACGCAAATATGTACTTCTGTTATAAAATTACAAAAAAAGCACGACAATAAACGGACTACATAATGATCCTAATAATAATAATGAATAATAATAATAATAATAATAATACTAATAATAATATAATTATGACATTGAGGATAATCACCGATCATTAGCCAAAGCATCACAGAGAAATATCTATATGGAATACGGTGTTACTTACTCTAGAAATAACGTCAGGGGGGAATCTACTGATCACAGCTCGTACCTGGTATACCTGGCATACCTGGTATAACAGCTCGTACCTGGTATTCGGTCTTCAGCTCCGACTGATACTCCACGATGTTGCAGATAGCAACAGCCTCCCGGTCACGCGTGCAGTCAGTCTCCAGTGGGTCCTGCAGGGGGCGACACCAGTTAGTAAGAGGAGTTAGCAGTGGTTGCATGTGTGTGGGGTGGGGGGGGGAGGGGGGAGATTAGAATGTCTGTCTAATTGATGTAATCTCTCAGCATCAATCTCTCGTCACTATCTATATAAACCTCTTTTGTGCTCTCTCTCTCTTTCTCTCTCTATCTCTCTCTCTCTTTCTATCAATCTCTCTCTCTTTTTCTCTATCTCTCTCTCTCACACACACGCACGCATGCACGCACGCACGCACGCACGCACACACACACACACAACCATTCACTTGCTGTCACTCTCTATCTCTCTCTCTGTCCCACCTCTACTCTGACTTTGACCTAGCATGCTACAATTGCGACAGAACATTTCGGCAGGGCAAAAAGTATCACATAGTTTTGACGTTTTTGGCTTGAAACTCGATTCGTTGCAACAAGGACGGAAAGCTCGACGTCAAAATGACACCGAAAATCTTGAATTCGATGGCGAGTTTCATCAGAATAAGATGAGTGAAAAGGATGCCTGCATCTCACAGCAACATACCTACACACTGCACACAGAACACAACGACAGAACCGCACACACAGAACCGCACACACAGAACCGTACACACAGAACAGTACTACTGCACGTTCTGCAGTGCCGTTCTGTGTGTGCGGTTCTGTCGTTGTGTTCTGTGTGTGCGGTTCTGTGTGAGCGGTTCTGTGTGTGCGGTTCTGTGTGTTCTGTGTGCGCGGTTCTGTCGTTGTGTTCTGTGTGTGCGGTTCTGTGTGTGCGGTTCTGTGTGTGCGGTTCTGTCGTTGTGTTCTGCGTGTGCGGTTCTGTGTGTGTGGTTCTGTGTGTGCGGTTCTGTGTGTGCTGTTC